TGCCGGTGGAGGTTTGTGCAATGCCTTTAAAAAAAGGATTAGGATCCCGAGCGACGGTGAATGCTTTTTGTCTCATTTGTATCGGCAATTTAACGCGGTCACCATGGTAGACAAAGTCGACAGTATTATATTGAATATGCGGTTGGACGTTGGAGTGACAAGGAATGCGATATAAAGATATACAATAGTGATATAGATGACTTGAGCTAAGACAAAGGAAGGAAGTGAGAGCGACACAGGAAGAACTACACATCGAAACTTACGTTGGCTGTTTCCCGCCAAACAGGGTCTCGCGTTTCATCTTCCCGCGCATGGGTTTGACGTCGAGGGGCTGGTCCTCTTTTTCGTCACTGCACGCCTTCTTGACGACGTCAATTTCGGCCTTGGTCATCGTGGGGCAGAAGAGGAGCTGGTTGTTGTGGTCCATGCGGGTGTGCGTGTTTATTGATCTAAGATAATAGGTAAATAACGCACGAGATAGGAAAAATAACGACGCACTCGAGTCCTGAATACGGCGTATCAGGGAGGCGCGTTTCAGAGCCAGAAAGCGACATCTTAATAATAATAGGCTCGTTCGATCGAATAATAGCCATAGCCCTTGGCGTAATAGGAAGCGGAAACATCTGCGCATGCTCATTATCCCCCTGATAAACAAACTCCACAAGTGCAAGCGGGATCCAGCCCACGTAAATTCGCCCGCGTGTGCTCCCACACCTTGTGCACAAGACTTCAAATGCTCTCCTCCCTTGGCCGTCGCTGAGCACTGAGCGCATCTGGTTGATGTCTTTCGTTGACGTGGCGACCTGCTGGAAGCGCTCTTCGACCTCGGGGGCAAGAAGCTCGGGCGCGATGTCGGTGTTGAAGAAGACGGTCGCCATTGTGTGCAGATAAGGGACACCCGTCCATAGGCACCCATCGTTACCTCATCACTTGCTGTCACGACGACCACGTGCTTTGGACGATGTTGAGGCCCTCTTCTGTATCCAAACAGGTAGCACGACCTGTACACGCTGTCAGTACCGTCGTTGTCCCTGAACCGCATGCGCTCGATGAAGAGGAAGGTCTCAGAGCTCTACGTAAGCTTTATCTTTTGATACTCGGAATCCAATAAACGCTCAAGTTGTTTTGTAGAAGCTTTCATATTCACCAATCTTCGTCTTCATGATCGCTTCCTTGCTAGCAACATCCCTTTCCTCGTCATATGGCGGGTTCCCAAAAACCCTTCACAACACCATTTCCGCCATCTTTACTTTTTGGATACCAAATATCGCATTCGAAGACGCTCCGTGGTGTATACGTCATTGGTGGTTTTATTCGCACTCGCAGCTGAACAGAATGAAACGCAGCTTATGGTTCTAAAGGAAATTTTGCAAGCGGGTTTGTCGCGGGACTGTACTACCCAATTGCTCAGATATTGCTCCATGTCTGATTTTCTCCCAAAGTGTTACAACTTGGACCGCAGAAAAGATGGAAGAGATTTCCAAGTCGTATCAGTGCTGTCATTCCTGCATTGCCAAAAACCCCATTGGTATGCAAATGAGCCTTTACAAACCATTGCGTTGAGCTGATACCTCTCTAATGGGCTTCTCACAAGCACTCGTGCGGCACACCCCAACTCGACGAACGGATCTACACCCTCTCCAAACGCCTCATCGAAAACACCCAATTAATGGTCTTCATCCAAGTCGGCATCATCCTCGAACTCGACCTCTTAAAGGACCTCAAACAAAACACCCGTCTCCGCCTAAATCCACGTCAACGTCGAACCCTATCACCAAAGCGACCGCGCAACGCTCTTCGAACTCAACGCCGCTTCCCAAGACATTGAAGGATGCTGTAGATCAACGAGATGGACACCACGCAGATCAAAGTCGTCATTGTAATGGGGTGGCAGCCTCTGCAAGACCAGATGGACGCATTGCGCCGTGCGCAAGGCGATTCAGGGAGGCCCTTCACGCTTATCAACTGCATATACCAGGAAGATCATGCAACGGGCATCAGCACGGATATGTAAATCAGGCCAGATGCATTAAGGATGGCTCGCGAACTCACCACCGCAAGATCGATTTCATGGACAACCGACAATTTAATGAAGTACGTCTAATACGTTACATTACTCTTCTGCGCACCTTATCTTTCCCTCCGCAATCATATAAATTTCTACATCCAACAGGAGGTTAACAACGACCTCCTTCTTCGTAAGTCTATGAATGAAATCGAAAAGGAAGTTATGCGACTTTCCCTTGGTCCTGAACAACCTGATGAATCGATAGCACTGGAGTACGCGAGAGTGAAAAGGGAGCGGGAGCTTGAAAATGAAAAGGGAGCAAGAGCAGTAATAGAAGAGATTGAGTGAACATTCCAATAATTTGTCGTCAAATCTGCCCTCCTACGTATTACACTATGTATCGCCTCTGTGACAACTTACGGTACTAGGGTTGGCTCGTACTTATTTCACCGTACATTCTTTACTCATACAGGTACTTGAATTTGCATATCTGCTACTTTTCGATTAAAACCTATGCCTTCGATGGATGATATTCAAAAGGAGCTTAGGAGACTGGCAATGATCCGGTGGATAGCAACCACGGCTGTCGTGCAGTGAATTGGATACGCGCGGGTGGAGCGATTTTAGGAATAATAAGCCTGAAATTACAAACATCAAAGTTTCAAGTCAGGGGGCATTCCGGATGTGGCAAAAAAATTAAATCAGCAAATTCAGCGACCAAGGAAACCTCCCTATTAAGACTGAACATAAGAAACGGCGGCAGTAAAACAACTATGATTCAAATCATACAAGTATTTCGGTCGATACGCGCGTATCATCATCGCGTAGTTAATGATCTTACAAAGGCACTCCACGAATTTCAGCAAATGTCAGGCAAATTCGTCAGTGACTACTATGGGAAAAACTCTGTTATAATGAAGCATATTCCAGGAGAGTACATGTAAGGCCTATCTTCGTCGCGACGGATGTTTAGCGGTCCGGCTACGGGCACATCCCTGGGTGGCTCGTTAACGTGCGGGGTTAATAGCGACCCTGTGTGCTGTGCTTCCGAACCACAATTGATCGCAACATTTCACACGGTCGTGTCATCCGATATGCTCCTATCCACGTACTATATCTTCAACTCCCTCCTCTCCGAGTCGTCTTCTACCTACAATAACCGCCATGGATGGTCCTGACAACCAAGATTGGCGTCCTCTTCTCCACGAACTGCCTGAATCTCCTTCACAAGAAACGACCCAGGCACGAGCACGTTCACTCTTCGAGCTGCTCAAGGGAAAACCGGGTCTCGTAGACGATATCGTTGGAGAGTTGTTACATCAATCTGAGCAGACTCCACGAAAGATTGACTCACTCCTGTCCGTTTACGCAGCACTGGCAAAACTATGTCACGAGGAGCCAACCATCAAATCACATGGATTCCAAGGAGCTATGGCCTTGCATAAGGCTTTCGACGCTGAGATGCTCGAAATCAGTCAAACCGCAGGATTACCGATAGACGATTATCATCCGTACGATGTAACATGTCCAATATCCTCGAACGAAACACCCGACGCGGCTATTCGGAAGATTATTGGATTCGCCGAAGCAAGAAGGCATTGGATGATCGTTCATGTCTTGAATGGACGGAGTCGGGCATTGGGAGTCGGGCAAGAAGCCCACGTACAACTTCCACTCGAGGAAGAGTTTACATTGACGATGATACGTGGTGGTCTTGGCTTAGATTCGCGGGCTGCAGCTCAAGACGAGACGAACTTCCTTGGTGCACGTAAGTCAGATTGCACTGGAAATTGCCCATATCGCTGAAAGACATCTAGTGTTTGTCATTCTGAGTGCTGGACAGACATTGAAAGCCAGAGCAACGAGAAATCGTGATAGAGACTTAATAACTGTCATTGAAAAGACATTGGTTTCCCATTTGCGCACAGAGACAAATTTCAAGTTTAAATTTTTCATAGCTGTGAGTCATTTCGTATTTGGTCGTTGATAGTATCTGGAAACACTTTGTTCAGCATGCACTCGAAAGTTTGAAAGGCGACGGAGAAGAATGGCCTAGTACTCGTATTTTCGATGAGGCTACCTGGATCCATTAACTTAGGAACAGGAATTGTCACGCCGATTGATATCCCCGAGACATTTGAATTCGAAAAAATCGTTGTATCATCATTAATTTTAGAACCGATGGTGGAATATTAGCTTTAATATAAAATACGGAAGAAATGATATTCTTACAGAGCGGCATGACAACGTAAAAATAATGTCTCATTTATAGTGTAAGGAATTATCCGTTTCTCTGCCTACACAGTCATGAAACGCAGCAGTCTAGTCGAAAGGGATACCTCTCTTACGGACATCACTGTCCATGGATTCACTGCTAGTGTGATGTGTGGAAAAGATGGTAATCTACACATAATAATCTCTGTTTGATTTACTCACCAAAAGTCTAGGTCGCACATATTCAACGAACGATATTACCGCTGTCGTCTGTGATATCAATGGAAGACGCATTCTGAACTCTAAGAATAATGATAATGAGAATCCTTACCCCGTGGCTCAGCCGCAGCTTGACGCTGATCGCACTACGGCACAAGGTAACGAACTCAAAGGATATCCCACCTTGGGAAGCATTGTTGTACGTCCGGTCGAAATGCAGCCTGGATGCATTGTTGACAACACTGCGTAGCTCGAAGAGAACCACAGGGATGTCGAGAACCAACGGGTCTTCAACAGGTTAGGTTTTACCTCCCTTATAATAGAGAAAAACTTACATAACAGTTTCTTCAAAGACAACGGGTGCTAAGGACCTTACACTTTGCACCCTTGGTACCCATGATGTGGCGAGTGGAAAGAAGCTTATAAACTATTAGAGCTTGTGTAAGAGCCGGAAGGCGGTTCATCTTCACGTACGATAACTACTTTGTGTACTGAACTTTGACAGTGTGCTGGGAATTGTCCCAAAAAGGGATACCGCTTGATACTAGAAAAAGAATACTAGCCCATACAGGGGTCCAACCTGAGACCTTGGTATTATTAACACCACGCTCTAATCAACTGAGCTAATAGACAATATACTCGTCTTGAGGAGCATAATCGGGTTCGACATATTGCATCAAAGGCCGTAAATAGCTGTTTTGGTGGCGACGCCTGTGTAAATTAAAATATGGTAAAATGTACAGAGTATAGTAATGGCACTTACCTTTCTAATAGAGAGCAATTTATTGGATCCATGGTCAAGAATAGAGGTCTCCGTCCGCGTGTATCAGCAGTATGTTATTGATCCGATACAATTATTCAACATCAGCTGGCAAGGCAGGGTTCAGAGTTCTTGGCCCTCCAATAATTAAGTAGGGAAAAAGAGCCGCGTTTGACTTTTAGACTTTGATGGAGTCGACGGCCATATAGTCAGCTCGAAGAAAGTCAAGGAATTTGAAGAAATTTGTGATCCTCTGGGAAGGCTATCACCACGGACGTTTCAAAACACAAGAAGGTATTTAATTCTCCTAGAGCCGAATGTGGAATTAGCCTCTTATTATTAATTTATTATGAAACACACTGCTCCGTTGATGAGAATAGAAAAAAGCAGGTTCAAGCGAGGATAGTACGTACTAACGCTACTCCAGTCACCGACCTCTCCAAATTGGCTGAATCATCTCCTTTGAGCAATAACTTACGATCTTCAATCGTTTGGACTATCAACCAAAGTCGTTACAAAATTAAAGATTCAGCATAGACTATTATATTATCCCTTATCTTTCAGGCTCATTCATCATTAGGACACCGTACCGTTAGCGTTAATGTACTGATTGTTAACGGGATTCTTTCCTATCCAGGGATGTATACGTATCCTATAAAAGCTTGGAGGAACAATGGAAGATGTATAAGGGTCGAGGAAATGGTCGTGATGATCGTGGCTGTGCCGTACAACGTCGCCCACAGACGCCCACATTCATATCCAGCCGCAATCCAGCGATACGTAAGCTCCACGTCGTTGACGATCACTGCCTGTGGAAATGTCATTTCTCAGTGTTTTCCAACGATATTATCCGTCTCTCTTTTACGTCTGTACCTCGGTGTTACTTATGCCGCTTCAAATGTTCATGAATGTTACTCCAAGCAGGAGGACTATGGACGTTTCATGCTGATCTAAGTGCGTATTCCAGCATTCTCATGGTGTCGATTCGCGCTTGTTTATCATAGTTTTATTTTTGCAGAACGCTTTTATACAACGGATTATAAGGATTTCTAATTCACCCACCCCGAATGTGAGTAATTTTGTATATAAAATCCGCTTCATTTGCTGAGTCCTCTAATGCCAGTATTTATAGTGTAATCTTTCTTACAGCTGCATAATTATGAACACGCACCTCATGCTCGTTCTATCTGCCTCTGGTTCAGCAACCGCTTTGGAATAGGCGGGAGATGCTATCCATGAGGCGCGCCGGATGGCTGATCGAGATACGCATACTGTGATGCCAACCTATGTTCCACCAGAGTACATTCCATCGTCAAGTGCATACGCCTAAATATACCCTATATGATAGGATATCGTCCTTGGTTATTATATATTTTCGGAGTATGGCAGCAAGTTATACGGACGAGGCATTTTCGCGTTGCTGTGCTATCAAGGTCGGCGTTCTTGAGTCAGTGAAAGTTCTAAAATACGAAGGTAGTTACCCATATTTTATTTCCAGTTTTTACCTTCTGACCAACCTGTCTGATACAGAGCACATTAACTATCATTATTGCGCCGTTGGGGTCATCCTTCCAGCTCTGCAGAACTAATTGGACTTCGCGTTTCTTGCACGGAGATAACAGCGATGTGGACGCCCACGAAAACCTGAAGATCTCGATCCCGCTCCGAGCTCAAAATTACCATACGTTTCAATCCCACCTCCAGTTTTATTTTCGTTTAGCCCTTACGTGTGCGACCTCCGAATGAAATTCAGGATGGCCTTCAAATAGTACTCTTCCAGGCACCACACTGGAAGCGAAAGGTCTTATAAACCTGGAGATTCGAACCTCTTTACTTCAGTCCTTTGCAACGGCCGTTCTCATCAAGCTTTTGTTGCTTGCTCTCCTCCCTTTCTTCATTGCTAATGCAGCTGTTGTCACTCAGACGTTCACACTTGGCGCCCAGAATCTCTTATCAGATGGCTTTCAGCGTACGGCCGCTGTTGTCAACGGTCAATTCCCCGGTCCCTTTCTCAAGGCAAACAAGGGTGACAACATCTTCTTGAACGTCGTGAATAATCTTAAAGATGACAATATTCCGAAGAGTACTAGTGTTGTATGTGCACCCATCATTGTTTTATCGTTATCGTTATCATGTCATTCCATTTTATGACACAAACTTTACATACAGCACTGGCATGGAGTTGTAGGTCCTTAACCTCTGAGGTTCTATACCTTTATTTATACTTTGTCCTTGGTTTGAACCCAACAATGCCTTGTGAGTTTTATTGGTTGAGGTCTTTCTCGAACAGGTGTTGATTTTGACTAGTAACGACGGTCCCTCCTTTGTAACGCAATGTCCGATCGTCCCTAAGTAAGCTTTAGACAGGCAATCTACGTCTAGCTCCGTCACGCTAATTCAACTTTCAGCCATACGTATACTTATCGGCTTGCTCTCAGAAACCAAGCTGGCACGTATTGGTTCGATATACAAAATCCTCCAATATATTATATAAATGTGACTATTTTGCAGGTATCACAGTCATTTGAGTACTCAATACGTGGACGAAATTCGCGGACCGATGGTAATCTATCAGTTATATTTTCATATTTTCTGCTGACGGAAGTTTACACGGCCATTATCCAGATGATCCGGAAGACCCTCACTTGTCTTTGTATGATGTTGATAATTCTATCTCAGATTCTCACCACCGGGCCTATACCCATTTTAAAGTGTTATTACTTTGGCTGACTGGTATCATACTCCTGCGATGATTGGCATCAATACGTGGTATTACTCGTCGCCTGAGTACTAAAACACCTCACCTCTGAGCCAGTTCCGGATTCTGGACTCATAAACGATATTGGACACTACTCTAGTGGTCTAGCTGTTGAACGAGCAAGGATAAATGTGTAAAGGATTTGGGTTATTGTAGGCAATCTCGCATCCATATGTACTTGTGGACTCTTGTGTATCATGTGAGCGCTTATGTAATATGACCTTGGTTGGCCTTCCACCACCGCTGCGCTCCCCGGATTCCTTACAAAATGTGTCCAAGAGCACGAGGTATCGTTGTATTTGACCATATCTCTAGGCGTATTTACCTTCTCAATCGATAATCACAACATGACAATTATTGAAGACGATGGTATATTACGGAAAACCCTATTTGCTAATTCAAGCTGACATGTTTCTCTAGGTATCTCGACAGTTCCCTACACAGTCGATGCCATTCAGATTTTCCCCGGTCAGCATTACAGTGTCATGGTGAGTATTTTCGGATATATAATTTATTGAGGCCGAATACGCTTCAAGGTCAATGCGGATAAGAATTGTTGTTTTCTCAAGATTGAATTTAGCCCCTGAGGCACGACACCACTTTAGCAGGATGTGTTCCAGATCTGAGTATTTGTCATGTTCTGACAAAAAGACAGTAGTATCATCTGCAAACAGAAGGACTATAAGCTTTTCTACATCATTTTCTAGTTGGAAGCCTTGGAGGGATGATGACCTGATCATTGTTGCAAGTGGTTCAATGGCAATGTTGAAAAGGAGGCATGAAAG